TTGGTGGCAGGGTGGCAGGCTGCTGAGTGGTCCCTGTGATGTTGGTATTGCCCTGCTCGGGGCTGTATTGGACACCTTCCCCAGGCAGAAAAGACTGTCCTCTTCCTCTTTGCAGGGGACAAAGGACTTGCCCTCCCACTCAGATATGTCTGAAGCCAGTTCAGGTGCAGCTTGGGGACAGGTCCTTGCTCGCAGCTGCCCCTGCGGTGTCCCCTCTGTCCTTGTCCTGTGCAGGCTGGCTGGGCAGAGGAGATGGAGGCTGAGCGGAGATGGCTCACACAGGAGTGCCAGGACCTGTTGTTCCCCATGGTTCAGCTGACAGAGGAGCTAGAGAAGTGGCAGGATCAGGTAGGGGCTGGGCAGGGATGAGAGGGGCTAGGCAGGCCATGTCTGAAGGGAGGGAAATGAGGTAATCAGAGCAGGGAAACAAAGACCACTAGGATAGAGGAAAGCTGATGTGAGAAACATCCAAATGTGTTAATATCCCTCTCCTGCCTTCTACCCTGGGGACAGGCTCAGGCACTGGCTTTCCAGAGTACAGGGCTACCCCTAGGTAGCCCTAGGGCAAAGCTGGACCAGGCCTGCTTCCCAGTACCAGGTTTGCCCTTTGCTAGTGGCAGGAAGCAGAGGATGTAGAACAGGCAGGGTTTGAAGCCCAGCTTGCCTGGGATGTATCTAAGAACAAACCCAGGGGAGCAGCCCCCTCTGCCTCCTGCCATTGTGGCCCTTGGTGCTAGGACTCCCTTCCAGAGGATCCCTCCAGCAACTCCTGCTCCTTGCTGCTCAGCAAGGGAAGCATCTCTCTGCAAGGGGCCCCTGTTTCTCCTCCTGCAGCTCTCAGTGCTCTCCGTCCCTGGCATTGTAGGCTGCCAGCAAGCACCACTCCCAGGGTCCTGCTGCTCTGCTGTGGCCATGCTGGCATGAGAGCCGAGGCGGGGGCTGAGGGTGCTTCCTAACCTCTCCCCTCACCTGCAGCAACCCTGGGCCTGTCCCATTGCTGGCACAAAGCTGTAACCAGCTATTGGCCTTTCTGTGTTACAGCTCTTAGAAGCCAAAGCAAGCCTGAGCCTGGTCCAGACTCAGCATGCTCTGCAATTGCAGCAGACCAAGGCCCAGATGAACAACATGGTGCAAAAGAAACAGTTTGAGCAGCTGCAAACCAGCTTGAGAGAGGAACAATGCAAGGCTCATCAGCTCCAGGAAAACTTCCACCGGCAGGCTGAGCAGACATGCAGGCAGCTGGTCAGGACCCAGGTAAGCAGGGAATTGTGGGAACTGTCAAGGGTACTGGGGAGGGAGCACTGCCAGCCTGGAAGGCAGCTGTGGTTGAAGCCACCAAAGGTTTGGGTGGAAGATGCTATATATCAAGAGCCCGTGTGGAAACTACACTTAATCTTCAAATTCAATTTTCTTTGCAATTTTCATTCCTCATGAACCCAGTCACTGCCCTCAAACAGGAGCCCTCCCCACTCTAATCCACCTACCCCACACCAGATACCTTGTGCCTAAAGGAGCAGGAGTTACCCAGGAAGACACTCTGTGTTGGCTCAGGCTGGGGAAAGAAAGAAAGTTTGAGCCCTCTATGTGGAGATGTAGCCTGCACAGAGCAGGGTGGTTTTATCTCTAGGGCACTGGGCACCAAGGTGTTGGGTTTTTCTGAGTTTGTCCTTTGTTTCAGGACACTGCGATTCAATTGAACTAACCTGTGCAAAGATGGAGTAAATTATAATCCTAAGGAATTAAAATGAGCAGACACAAAAACTGCATCCAAGGAAACTTTGTCTCTCCCTGGGCTTTTCTGGACATGGCTGAGAGGGGAGGCCATTGGCTTGTTTTTATAGCAAACATTGCTGGGAAATCTGTGCTTTGTCTTAAAACTGGTTGGTGCTGACCTAGGGAAGGTCGTACTGCTCTAGACATTTGTCCCGCTGCTCTTTGCATCCTGCACTACCTCTGCTGATCCCCCCCAACTCTCCTTCAGGTGACGGTCTGTGAGTGGGGCCCTCGGAAAATGCATGGTCCAGGATTGCCAGGGGCTAGGTGAGTGTTGGGTCAACCCAATGTTAGGCTATGTTGCCCGCTGCAGGAGGAACACGAGCGTCTGCTGCAGGCAGCTGTGGAGCAGGCAGAGGGGCTGGAGCACAATCTGAGGAGTGCCGAAGCTGTGTTGGCAGAGAGGGCGGCTCAGCTCAAAGATGCCCAGGTGAGTGCAAGAGGGGTTAGTGCTGTGTGTCCCCTGCCTGGCTGGGACCCCTGCGTAGAGATGCTGAACCTTAAGCCTCCTGTCCCCGCTGTAGGCCCAAATCTCCAGGAACAAACTGCTGATTGAAGGCCTCCGTGAGGAGAACAGGGGGTTTGCAACGGCCCTGCAGGCAGCTGAGCTGAAGCAGAAAAGCACTGAGGAGAGGAACCAGCTGTTGGAGGAGCAAGCCTCAGCTCTGAAGCAGCTCATTGGAAAAATCACGCCAGTATCTCTGAGCGGGTGATGGGGCACCCGCTGCGGCAGCCCTGCCACTGGTCGTGGCTGGGGTTTGTCAGGTGTGGAAGGGGAGGTATGGCTGAGTTGGGAAATCAGCCTTGTCCTCCCTGGTCTTGCCAGGATTTTCCTGGGTAGAACGCAGAAAACAGAGAAACCAGAGAGAGTCCTTTAAGGAAATTGGTCCTGTGGACAGCTGAATTTTCCTACTGAAAGCACCAGCTTTGGTGCCTTTCTCAGTGGCAGTGTGCTGTTGTAAATCAGGTCTGTCTCAGGGCAGCCATCCCACAGGAACTGCCTGCTCTCTGGCAGCATGTTTGGTCGTGGTGCAGATGCTCCCTCTCTGCGGAGGGTTGCTGTTGGGGCCACGCTGTTACGTCTGGAAAGCCAGGGCAGGAGGGCTTGCAGGTTCCTGTGTCTGGCTCACTCCAAGCAGGAAAGCTGTGGCATTAAAATGTTTGCAGTATTACAGCACCTCCTGCCATCTCCAGTCTGCTCTGTATTTCAGTAGCTTCCTCCAACTGTTGCTGAACTTTTATTCCCTACAGCTCCTCTTGGGCACTAGGAGACTCTGGCCCTCCTAAAGCCTGAGCCTAGGATCAAAACCAACCTGTTGCCAGATTGTTGCCTCTGTGGTGAGCAGGACAGAGGGGCTGAGGGAAGAGCCTTCTTTCAATTTGAGCCTCCAAGGCTTGGGATGGGGTTGGTGACCCCTAGTCAGCACTGCACTTCTTCGAAGGAGACATGGTAAGTGAACTGCATCATCTTGCCTTCCTTGTTGGCCTTCACACACTGGCATGAGTACTGCTTTTGCCAAAGTAAGTTGTCTAAAAGGCCACAAAGCCCAGCATTCACATCAGCAAATACCAAATTTATTGATCTGCCCAGGGTGTTACGCTCTTCATGGAGGACGCATCATTGTCACGGTGACCCTGCCTTGCTCTGTGCAGAGCAGAGGGTATTTACATGGGGGCTGTGGTTGCCACTAGCTGTGAAAGGACTCCTAGGATTTTGGGGGCTATGGAGACTACTGTACAAGAGAGACTAGACAAGCCTGACTGGATCAGAGTAGCAAAGCAGAAGCTGGACAAAGTCAATACAAAGAAGAGGGCTTAAAAACAGCTCAAGCTGTTGTTGGTTGAAGAACAAAAGGGGATAAATTGGCTGTGAGCTAAAACTCAGCCACTGCCGTTAAGTCCCAGCCTGCCAGGGCAGAGGGGTTCCCTGGCCCTGGGACAGTGCCAGGAGATGGCTGGAGGCTGTGACTGAAGAGGCCTCCTTGGTCTAGGCATGCTTTTTCTGCTCTGGTGGATGACAGCTGAGACTCCTCTTTCTTTGCCTTGGGGGCAGCCCTGATTACAAGGATCATGAGGGAAGCTGGGCTATTACAAGGAGGGAAGCCCCACAGAGTGTGTGGGCTAGCTCAGGGAGTTTCCTTGGCTGGGGCTGGGAGAGCAATGCAGTAACACCCCGGCAATGTATCCTGTTCCTGTATTCTTCCCTAAGTATTTGCTTTTTGGCTTCTGTCAGAGATGGGGGCTAGGCAAACCTCTAGTCTTACCTAGGGCTTATGTTTTTGGAAGTGTTAATCTCTCAGCCACTACTGAAGAACGAGCAGCTCCATTAGGTAAAACCAGACAGGGAAAGCAGCTCTTCAGCTTTGCTTGGTTTTGTGCTAACTGGAATCCTTAAAACCCTCTGCTCCCTTTCCCACCCCTACTCAAAATAGTTCCTAGGCCCTGCCAGACCAGTGCTCTGGGGAAGGAGACTCTTCACAGAGGGACAGAGGCACAGCCGAAGTGTGCTGGGAGAAACCTCAGCCAGGCCCATGACCCAGACTGCAGTGCTCATTCACTCAGCACCTTAAGAAACAACATTTATAGGCCTCTGATAGGAGACAAGGCTTCATGTCCAATCCTAGAAAGAAGCTCCTGCAGCCTCATCTGACACTTGGAGGAGCAACTCCACTGAGACACCTAAATAACCAGTTGAGCATCACCTTGCAAGGTCAAGATGGGTTGGGCCAGAGAGCCAGATCAGAGTGTTTAACGAACACAACATTAACTCTTGAAAAACACTAAATTGAAGGCTGAAACAGTTCTTTATTTTGCAACCATGGAGCTCTCCTGGCTTCCGGAGTCCAGTTGGTCTCTTACTCCCACATGCAGTGTGAACAAAGAACTGCTCCAAACAAAAACGCATTCACAAAGCTGGCTTGTAACTGTGGGGCTTGGATAACACCCCTTCCCCACCCCCACCGCCACCCCCCACTATGCTGGATTCCCAGGATTGCTACATTACCAGCATGCACCCTTTGGTCTTGAAAAGCTGGCCAATGTGGTTTGCATACTATGCTTTATAAACTCAGGGCTGATGTTCATGTCGGGTATCAAAGGCTGTTAAGAGGAGTGGCAGGGTGCCCACTGCAGAAATGCTGAGGTGTCTGAAGTCCTGCATACACCAGAGTTCAGTCCCTGTTGTGGGCAGGCCACCAAGCAAGGGTTGTCCCTCCTGTCCTGCACGCTTACGACAGAATGTGCTCGAGGACGCCTTGTCTGATTAATTGCTCGCATTTCCAGCGGGGTAGAAAGTGCTGCACAGAAACACAGACAAACTTGCCTGAAACCCAGGCAGACTGGATTTGTTGCTGCACACAACCAGCTCTGTTTGTTGTGCTGTATGCCCGCTGCATCGTGGTATCAGATCAGGCAGAGCTGAACTGCAGTCTTGGGCCACGCAGACAGCTTGCAGCATGTGCAAGGAGCCGTGTGTGCAGGAACTGTGACATACTGCGAAGCTGGGATAAGCAGGGGGATGTCATGGGAGTGAAAGGGAAGGAAGAGAACAGACCACACTCTCTTGTCACGGGTACCTGGCTATTCTTCTTCAACAGGACGGTGGTACCATCATCGATCTCAAATTCTCCATAGTCTCTTAAACACCGCACCTGCAAAGTGGAAACACAGCTCTCAGATCATCAGGTCTCCCACAGAAAACACTAGACATCACTGCTGACTTACAACACATGCCCCTGAACTGTAAGTGTGCACACATTCCTATCTGCCTGCTGGAGCCTCAATATAGAGCAGACCTGGAAATGCAGAACTGGACTGATCCCACGGTCTGTGGACTCTACCTGACGTTCTCTTCCTGCCTCTGCCTGGAGCAAGAAGCACCAGTGAGCAGACCAGCCCAGCCCTCTACAGGGACTAGAGGAAGAGCAGCACAAGAGACAGGGTGTGGGGAACAGCAGCAGCATTTCCAGGAGAACCTCCCCACACACATACCAGAAAATGCTAATCTGTTAACAGTTGAAACTGTCTTAAGGAGCAGGTTGATTGTCACTATGTGTTCTTTCGAAGAGAACATCAGAACAGAGCTACTGACTCTGATTTTTCACATGCTCTTGCTTTGTTGTATCAATTGTGTAAAACAATTTATAGTCTTATCTATCAGAGTCCATTTAAAATAACAACAAAGAAAACTAGTTAACAGTCCTTAACACGGGAACAAGGTTTTTAGTTGATCTGAGAGTTGGTTAAGTTTCTGCAAAATGCTGCAGAAACTTCTCACTGGGATTCAGACCACTCACCTCACCACACCAATTCCCTGTGGACTAGAAATGCTGTCTTTCAACATACTTTGAGCCCTAAGTAGAAGAGGGAATAAAACACTGGCAGGCAGAACGTAAAGAGTAAAATGTGGAAGCTTGTGGAAGCTTTGGTGCTCTTGAAGGCTTTGCTCAATGACCTTCTGACTTGGGCTGGGGGTGAAATTCTCTAAAAAAAGATGGTTGGGCAAAATGTTTGCCCACAGACAGAAACCACCAATCTTGCACTTACTTCGATATACAGGCTTTTAGGAGGTTTTATGTCCTGTGTAAGGTCCAGCCCCTCCTCTCCTCCTACTGACCTCATGTAGGTAGCCAGAGACTTTTTGTACCGATTGAACCACTCCACCTGCGGACATCGACAGTGATTTCTCAAGCAAAGCCAAACAGGTAATGCTGAAAGACAGGTCCCTGATGAGTGAGAGCTAGTTTATTTGTGCTGTCAGACCGCTGTTCCCAAGCGTGTTCATGCCAGCCAAAGGTGAACGCAAGCTCTTCTAAAGGGAAAAACTGACCCAGAGGCAGAGCAATCTGGGTTCAGGGTAGGAGACGTGCTGCTAATGTTAGCAGCTCTGTACGTTGGACTAGAGACGGCATTTGAGAGCAGCATGTGAAGACTTGGTTCTGCTGGCTGCGAGTCTGATCTAGTGAAGACCACCTGATCCTTAAAAGTGCCAAGCATCACCTGCACTCAGTATCCATTTGGGATTGTACCCATAAGATGAATAAATGAATAAACAAATCAGTATTTACTGAAAGGCACATTATGTGTCATGTTTATAGTGAGGGAAGTCTACCCTATTTTGACTCTACTAAATAGATAATCCAACAGGAGGAATAAGGGGAAAGAGGGGAAGAGTGGAAGACAAGGTTGACTCACTTCCTCAGCTGACATGTGAAACTGGATGGTGTTTGGCAGGACGCTGCCATACTCCCACCTTAGTGCTCGGATCCGCAGCAACCGGTCATACCTGGGGGAAGAAACAAGGGGCAAACCCAGCATCTTTGCTGATGCGAGTGCTGGCAATATGCCCTGGCAATACTGATGCCCCAGTCTGCTCTCAAAGCAGAAAGCAAAAATTTGGGTCATCTCACCCACCTTCCTTTAAAGGATGTGATTTTTGGCCTATCCAGTAATAAAAACTTTTAAAGACCAGGAGGAAACAGGGCCTTCTCTTTGTGCAAGCATTTGGTGGTACCAGCAATGAACACAAAGAGAGACAGCCCCGCAGCTGCCCTGCTACTGCACCTCGCAGAGGAACCACTCGCCTGGGCCAAGAGTGCCAACACCCGGCGCTTGGGAACCCTGTTTTGGGGGCTGCGCCCCTGTGCCGGCGGGGATGAACCGACGCTCCGTGCCCCC